AATTCATTCCTCAGTCTCCTGTATTTCCTCCTGCCTTCTTCATTGTTGACATTCTTCCATTTCCTTCGCTCCTCCATTTTACTCATCATCTCCTGTGTAACCCATGGTTTTCTTGCTATCTTCTCAACTTTACCAACCAAATCACTGATAGTATCTAACATGCATTCTTTTATATTGTTCCACTGCGCTTCAGCATTTCTGCTTTCGCCTTCAGTTGCACCGAGTTTCTCTTCTAGGGTCTCTTGCACGCTTTGTCTTTGAGCATATAACTTCTCCAAATCCCATCTGGGTCTGCGCTTTCGAAATCTTATAATTTTCTTCAACCTGGTTCAGAACTTGGCAACCAGTAAGTTGTGGTCAGAGTCAATATCTGCCCCAGGAAGTGTCTTCACATCCTTCACACTGTTTCTGAATCGATGTTTCACAAGGATGTAGTCCAGCTGATGCCTCCTCCAATCCCCAGGTGCCTTCCATGTGTAAATTCTTCTCTTTGGCTTCTTGAACCAAGTGTTTGTGACAATCAGTCCATTTCGTTCACAAAAGTGAATAAGCATTTGACCCCTGTGATTCCGTCTTCCTAGTCCATGTGATCCAACAATATTCTGATATGATCAATTAGACAAAACCCAACCACTGTAAATCCACCACAAGTACTAGACCAACAGCAAAATACTCATCAAAATGCTGCCTCATATGCAAAAGTTCTAGCAGGAATACCAAATAACAAATCAAGTATAAATGGTGTTGAACAGTTATCTAAAAAACTGACCGGCTTCCTTGGCGAATTCAAGAACATGATTACCCAACTATTAAACCAAAATAGTATGATTCTTACCATGTTAACTACAGTAATAAATAAATAGCAAAGTAACGGCTTCCTCACTGAGAGTTGCTGCATGGAATGCCAACGGAATAAAAGAACATGTGCTGGAAATTGAGTATTTCTTAAACGTCAACAAAATTGATATCCTATTAATCTCCGAAAGCCATGCAACCCAACAAGCTGTAATAAAAGTCCACTACTGGAAAATTTATTATGCAAACCATCCACACGAGACAGCACATGCAGGCTCAGAGATTATTATCAAGTCATCTATTAAGCACAATATTCTACAGACTCATATCACCAATAAAATTCAAGCGACTGTCTTAAAACTAGAAACGTCTGACTGGCCGCTGACTATTGCCGTAGTATATACTCCACCGCGCCACGCTGTATCATCGGAAGAATACAGAGATCTCCTCCTACAGCCTGGCTCGCGATTTCTAGCGGCAGGTGACTGGACTCTGACCACTCTGACGACTCTGACTTATGCCGCAGTATACAGCCCACCGCGCCACGCTATATCATCGGAAGAATACAGAGGTTATAGTGCTACGTGATAGCTTAGATTATGTCGAAAACGCCGCTCCCACCTCATGAGTTCGCTCATCCCCCACGGTAACACAAATGATTACTGAATGTCACATGACCAATTCAGTGACTGCTTGGCATTTGTTTCACCCGAATTCGCCTTCCTGAATAGGAAGAGGAATAATATTATACACGAAAATGTGTAAAAAAAGTAGCGTGAAAAATTACCGTCTTGTAATCGAACTGATAATGGAACGTGTTTGTTTCAGTCATGTTAAGAGGTTGGCTGCCCTGTCACTGTGACCTAAATATCCGGTGTACAAAAACAGGTACGTTTCTTTCGTGGTATGAAGAGGTGTATATAATAAATAAGACGGTTTTGTGTGTTTATGTTGATATTATTAATTATCTGCTTGAAAGTATATCTTAAAAGATTCAGTGAGATACTGCAAATGGGAGGCTTTAATGTGCATATTATCCTGGACCGAGTAATGGCGAGTGGATGAAATTGGACAAACATGTGTTTCCTCAGTTCCACAACGAAAAGTGTTTTCCGTCTGAATGATGAACCTGAAGTATGTGTGAAGGAAGAATGTACCATAACGTACATTTAGTGATTTAATGAAAGTAAGTACATATAATAGTAGTGGATGTGTAGTGAAAGACAGTGTGTCTTTGAGGTTGTTCTTGCATTAATATTAATCTCGTGTGACGAATGTATAGGGATTTGCACAAAATGTGTTTTAGTGGTTATATAGATAGAGAGTGAGTTAGATTTTATGAGTTCATATTTGGTATGACAGAAAAATTTGTAGTTTTGGTATGTAGCCTCTGAATATTTCACGTGTGACTAGGTTATTAATCGGAATGTTATACTTTTTTTTATTATAAGTACTTCTAAGAAGAGGGTGCAAAGTTAATTTCTAGTTCCCCTTGAAGAAGTTATTTTTTGAATTTATATCTTATCTATGTGTGACAGAGTGTGGTGGGTATAATGTATGTTGTTTTGGTCACAGTAATGTCGAGTGTAAAGTGAAGTTTAAATTTTCTAGTGTGACGTTATATTTTTGTGTGTAATATATACAGTGAAGTGTAGTGAGGTTTTGTAGTGTTTTCAAGAATGTTAATATTTCCATTCATCCTCAATGGATTCAAAACTTTCCCCTTTCATATACATATCTTGTTTGCATGAAACACATGTTGTCATTGGTTTTAAGCTGGCAATCCTGTTCAGTGGCACTGTAAAATGTGCACAGTTGTGTGTAGAGTATGTGTTATAGCATGAAGAATGATGGCAAGTGATTTGTAAGTTAGATATGTATTTCGGTGTGATAGACAACAGATTGCATTCTTGCCATCTAATCTTCCAGACTTAAATGTGTTACCAGGTAGTATACAGCATTAGGGAATTATTTTCTTTCCATCTATTAAACTACTTACAGAATCGTATTGTTTACAGGAAAGCACATGTTGTTACAGCTGACATTCTTGTAATTCTATTTTGTAGTTTAGTTTAGAACATCCAGTATTTATCTGTTTGTGGTCGAGGCTTTAATATATTTTATCTTATATTAAATGTGTGGAAGGTTGTATTTACTCACATGACCTGAAAAAATATTCCCTTCTTTGCCACTCTATGTAAAGGTTACCCCACCTTGTTTTTCTTTATGCTGCAAATTATCATGTGCATTTTGTTTTTGTTTTGTGGAGGGTGGTTTACTAATTAAATTTTTATCAACTCGTTATTGTGCAGTATGTTTTTGATGGTGTACTTCTGCTTTTTCTTTTATTGGATACATGTGTAATGAATTTAATAAGTAGTTAATGCCTGATATTTTACGCTCATATGGATGGTATGGGCTATTTGATATTATGTCAGTTTTCATGGGTTTCTGATACATTGAAAATTGTAAATTTTTGTCATTACGATGTATTGTGAAAACTAGGAAGTTAATAGGTTCGCGTTGTTCTTTTTCTGTAATGAAATTTATGGGTGATTGTAGTTTGTTAAATTCTTTAAGTATGTGATCTATGATTATTTTGTTTTGTTCATATATCTATAGTTTGTCATTGACATATTTAATGTATGCGATTATTTGTTGTTTTATTAGAATTCGGTATATTTATATATGCTGCTCGTGTCGTATATATGTTTCTGCTAGTATTGATGATGTTGGGGCTCCTGTGGCTGACCCGTAGATTTATTTATACTACTCCTGGTCAACTTGGAAATAATTTTGTTCTATCGCTGTTTTTAATATGTGTATTGTTTCTTTTTGGATATTATAATTTTCATGGCTGTTTTCTAATATAGTATAATTATGTTTATACATAATAAAATTGTTGGTGTATGTATGTTTTGTATATCAAAGGAGAAGAGTTGCACATTGAACTCAACAAGGATATGCGACTCTGCTCCTTTGGTATAGAAAACATGTATACAAACATCTTTGAAGGTTACCCACATACTTAAAAATTTGTCTGCCTGTATTTTCACTTATTTTTTATTTAAATTTAATCACTGTGTCCATATCCATCACTTATCTTGAAACTCTAAATCACGTAAATTCACATTAACAAGTAATATTTTTGGTGCTTATCACAGGACTACGCTTGCTCCTAGTCACCACGGTCTCCATACCACACCTTCTTGCAAATGCTTACTTTCCCCAAGTTCATAGTTTAAACGACAGTTCTGTGCATTTTCATTGTTCAGACAAGATGTTAGACTACTTTTTATATAAGCAGGAATGACAAAGGCTAGATCTCCATTTGGTAATTTTGTTGGCACGAGGGCCAGTCCCGTTGGTGTTTGAATGAGGACAGATGACGCAAGCACTCGAGCGTCTTCTGGCATGGTGTTCTGTGTGCTGGCCACTGTCTCATATCTGCCGTTTTCTAGAGAGTCAAGGCATGAAGTCAGATGGCTCAATAGCCTTTCACAAACAGCAGGATCGATATCATGAAAATGGTTCAGGGCTTCCTGTGCTTCTTGTGCACATTGCCTGAATCCTGCACGGAATTTTAGACTTGAGGAACCTTCGTAGGATCCTTTCTGCACATCAGACATCACATTTCCTTGTGTTTTTGTTCTTGCCGTTTGTTGGCATTGTTTCCGGCAACAGTTTGGCACTGTTGATGGGAGATTGCGCTGGCCAAGTGGGCTACATTTTTCTTGATATTCAAATTTCGGTCTAACGCGACTTTTGTTTGAGGCAATGCTAGATTCCGGCGATGTTCGAGGCTGTTTTGTCGATGCCCTCTCTCCAGTTTCAGGTGTTGCCTCTTGCTGCTTACGTTGCTTCTGTTGCTCGTGAAGCTGTTGCAGATGCTGAACGGTCATTTCTAGGATATCTGCCTTCTCCAGTTTGGCTGATCTCGAACCCTGCATAAGAAGATAAAATAGAAGTGAAACACAAGAGCGATGTTTGTCAAAGACTGTCACTTGGCCGGCTACAAGACTTTAAAATGCCTTACACCTCAGATGACTGGCTGCCCTTTCACTCCGTTGTGCTTTTTCTTTAAGGAGACATATGGAGATTACTATAGCATGGGTATGATAGATGTAACTACAATTTAGCAATGTCATTGTAGTGGCGCCTCACGTGGTCAGTTATCAGGATGTCCCTAAATGCCCTAACCAAATTCCTGCTTTACCCGAAGCCTCAGATTTATTTCCTTGGCAGTGCTGCCCCAGTGGGCCTAGGCCTACCTCCATGAACTTCTCCGTTCACTTTGGCTTTTCTAGATCTTACACATTCGGTAGGACTCCTTGGGTGGGTGACCAGCTCGTCGCAAGGCCTCTACCTGTACGCAAACACAGAAAAACGCACACACACAAACTAAACATCCATGCCCTAAGTGGGATTCGAACCCACGAACCCGGTTTCCAAGCGAGCTAAGACAGTACATGCCTTAGACCGCTCGGCTACCGTGACCGGCCGAAGCCTCAGATTAGTTCGTCATATTTAATAACTAGAACTGACTGCAGTGCAGTGAGCTTGCATCATTCCGTCTCAGTTGATAGTTACATTCTTTCCTTTGGCGCTACAGCCCCAATTTGGGCCCTGGCCTACCTCCATGAAACTCTCCGTTTCACTTCGGTTTACTAGATTTTAGACACTCGGTAGGACTCCTTGGGCCGGTGGGCAGCTTGTCGCAAGGCGTACCTGTACACAAACAGAAAAACGCGCGCGCGCACACACACATACATACACACACACAAATACTGAATATCCATGGCCTGATTGGGATTCAAACACACGATGACGGCTTTCGAGCGAGCGAATACAGTGCATGGCTTAGACCGCTCGGCTACCGTGACCGGCTGATAGTTACATTAAGTAAGTAAGTAAAGGTATCCCCATAACAGGCCGTGGAGGCCCATAGGGTTTTGAGATCTTGAGGTTCCCACATTTTCTAGACAATTGGCTCATAGATGGTGGAAAGGTTGTTAGCCTTACGCGCCGGCCGCCCTTTACCCCCAAGAATATTCCTGGTACTCATTTCTGTTAGAGGCTGAGTCGACCCCAGGGCCATAGTGCGGCTGGAAGGATTGGGTCAATTGAAAAAAATCCCGTGACCTCATCGGGACTTGAACACGCGAATTTCCGGCTTGTAGCATAGTGCCTCAACCAACTACGCTACCGCGTACCCCCCGATAGTTACATTACGGTGTACAAATTATATTTGAAACATTTGTCCGTACGCCGAAATTGGAGGTAAAAATCATCTACATATTCTAGACATACTGAAAATCAGCCATGCCAATATTGCTGATTAGTCGTTTCTTTAATAGTTTCTCTATTTCGACTACCTAGGTTGTGTAGCGTGAAATAGCATGAAGAGCTCTTGATGATAAATTGGAAAGGACGTGGATTGGAACAGCAGTTTGTCGACATTTCACTGGAAGGGCTAAGAAAAACCACGAAAGACTCGAGATAGCCCTTCCCAGATTTGAAATCCAAATCTGAGTAATATGACGCACGAATGCCGACGCCAGATCCATGTCGCATATCGGCCCAAGTGTCAATGGAGAGAAATTCTGTGCGCGATAACCACATACCTCCGTCTTGTTCGTGTTTCCGTCCAGGAGCAGCTTTCTGAGTTCATTCAGACTCTTATTGATCCTCGCCCTTCTCCTCTTCTCCATCAATGGCTTTCGTGTCTGTCAACAGAAAATACAATGCAAGTATCTGAGGTCTGCAGTTACCACGGTGGCGACAATATAGCTTACTTAAAAGTTATGTTGCGACCGACGGTCAGTCGGCCAGTCCGTGCTGGCGACAAGCACCCATTTGGGACTTAAGACCATATTTTTGTTTCTATCAGACGGTTGCGGGTTTGTTGATGTGGAGCGCCCTCTCTGACGAGAATGCGGGTCTGACTTTTAAAATGTACTCATGCAGTGTACAATATATTTATATTTTACATGTTATTACATGAATGTACGTATATACAATATATATAAGGCCTCTGTCAGTCCAGGCTCAGTACAGCAGATCATTCCCCATCTTCAGTAGCTTCCGCCTATGAATTGTAGTGGTCACTTTGCTTCATGAGATTTAAGACAGTTTTTTTAATGGCCACTATTTTTTTCCTCCTGTCTTCTGGTATGAGACATCATGCAGGCTGGCAGAAACACACCTACGCTTCAGAGGAGAATGCTGTTCTCTGTTCAGCGCAGAAGAGAATTTCATCCCGATTTCACTACAATGCATGATGTCGCATTCCAGAAGAGAGTAATGTTCAAAATGTAAGTCCCTACTACTGCAAATTTAATACACAAAACATTGTTCGTTACAGTGATGACTCCTACAGTCTTCTATTCGCCTTCGTATCGTTGATTCATTAATGTAAGGCGGAGCCAATATGATTTCTATGAGCTAGAAACTATATATAAGATTTTAAACCACCGTACAGTATAATTGATAGTGTTGTTTTTTTAATTTTCATTCTTTGCATGTTTCCGGTCAAAACGACCATCTTCAGAAGGATATTATCAACGCATGGAAACTACTGTTACCATGTCATAGATACTTACTTACTTAGTCATGGAGCTGAGCCCTTCTTGAGAAGTCACCGATTGTGCAGCTACTCAAGAATTTTCCAGCATTTTATGGAACCCGAAGGTTCATCACCGTGTTCACAAGAGCCCTCCACTGGTCCCTATCCTGAGCCAGATCTATCCCATCCTATCTAAGATCCGTTTTAATATTGTCCACCCACCTACGCTTTGGTCTTCCCTGTGGTCTCTTTCTTTCTGGCTTTCCCACCAATATCTTACACGCATTCCTCTTCCCCATTCGTGCTACATGATCTGCCCACCTCATCCTCCTTGACTTGATCATTCTAATTATACTTGAAGAATAATACAAGTTATGAAGCTCCTCATTATGCAGTTTTCTCCAACCTCCTGTCACTTCATCCCTCTTGGGTCCATATATTCTCCTTAACACCCTGTTCTCAAACACCCTCACCATGTCATAGATATAAATATTATATTTTTTAACTAATACTAAGATGTACATTGATTTGTTAAAACATCTAAAAATTATTACAGTAAGTCTGTTTACAGAGTAGTGCACAATATTTGTTACGTGTCGTTACACTGCTCATTGGCCGCGCCACAGCTCAAACGGTTAGTCGCTGGCTTCCCACCGCGGTGGCCCGGGTTCGAGCCCGGGTCTGGTCAAGTGGGATTTTTGGTGGACAAAGTGGCGCTGGGGCGGGTTTTCTCCGAGTACTTCGGTTTCCCCTGCCAATCTTCATTCCACTAAATTCTCCATCATAATTACCCGAGGCAGGTACAATAGGCCAATCAGTGGCTGACGTGCCCGGTGGACTCCACCCCTCACTAAGTGAATTAATTACCCTTCTCATTAATGGAAGATGGTTATATTCCAGAGCGTGGTATCGTTATCTGATGATCAAAGCTCTGCAGTTATGTTATTGATATTATGTAGCGTTTCTTTTGTCCAGATTTTATTAAAATATGGCTTTCTATTTTTGATTCTACCTTTGGTATCGTGGTCCAGTTATACAGGTAACGCTGTGTTGTTGTACTGCTCTAACATGTGTTGTATCACGTGGGTTCCCCCGTTCTGATGCACATTACTCCACGTTACTTTAAGAACGTATGGTCATGTCAGAACATAACAAATTGGGAAATTTACATATAGTGTAATCACGCGATCGGTCACTTTTGTTTAATTGTCACAAAAAACGTTAGACTTGCGGAATAAACTGAAATTTGCAAAATATTGTTTCAGTTCTGTCTGCAAATTATGTCGAAAACATTTTAAGCTCCAACGGATCTTTACCTGGTTACGCTGGAGATCCGCGTAGAAACGCGTGTAGGTCTATATGTGAAATGTCCGTCATTGTTGTCCGATATTAACCAGAATTACAAAATGTATATAAAGTTTACTAAAATCCCTATCTGCACACACAGTCCTGTCTTCTGGTATACAGCACCGTGTAGCCCAGTACAAGTTCATTTACGTTCGGAGTTAGTGGCAAGCTAATCATCTCTTGTAAGATTTGAGGCTTTCACGGCGGTAACTATGAAGAAAGCAGTCTTCTGGGATTTGGCACCGTGTATATGTGGTGTTAACCAACGTTTCGGAGGAACGTATCGCCTCCATCTTCAGGGTAGAAGAAAAAATATGAGAAATCTGCAGATTTCTTATATTTTTATATATACATTCCTCCGAAACGTCGGTTAACACCACATATACACGGTGCCAAATCCCAGAAGACTGCTTTCTTCATAATCATCTCTTGCTCATTCCTTCGCATATCTTCGACTTATACCCGACTACACTGTGTCACGTTCCAGCCACCGCTGTGAGAACTTCAAGTCCTAAGTTTAAATTGCATCACAACCGATCAGTGGTGTCCGATATGTTACATGCGTGGCGAGGTTCATAGGAATATTTTTGCAAATTTTTGTTTCGAACATGCCAAATAAATGTTCTTACCTTACGACTTTCTCCCGTTGGTTTGTCAACACTTTTTGTCACCATCACTGTTGTTGTAGCGGCGACATGCAAACAGCCGGCCATTTCACGGAGTAATGTTGCTGCATAGGACTGATTCGCATTCACATGTTTCGGACTTTGACACACTGACAAAAAACAGACACCTCAAAATGCACTGTTCATTTGAAGCTGACTTGGTATACAGAACTCCAGGCGTGATCATTTCCGAAAGAAAAAAAATATATAAAAACGAGTCAGTACAAATTGTTTACAGATTTGTCCCTCTTGCAATGGGCTTTGACACACTGACAAAACACAGACACCTCAAAATGCACTGTTCATTTGAAGCTGGCTTGGTGTACAGAACTCCAGGCGTGATCATTTCCGAGAGAAAAAAAAATGTAAAAATGAGTCAGTACAAATTGTTTACATATTTGTTCCTCTTGCAATGACTCTTTAACTGGCACAACCGAACCTCACTTAACGATGACTCCGCCCTCGGTATTGAGCGGTATGAATTGCTGAAGACTTGCTTCTTTGCTGCATGTAAACCGAAGACTGATCCATGGGCAGATGTGTACTTACGGACCTCCCACCTACAAGTTGAGGATTCGCCCCTCCCCCGGTCACAAGGTTCCCCTACCTGCACCCACACACAGAGGACACTGCTGATGTTACAGAAGTATCCCCCCTCCACGCATGGACATCAAGCTAGGACCTAAGTATCTGTGTATGAAAAGCGGCCTCCGTCTTCTAGGGGTAACGTTCCCACCTCATGACTCAAGGTACGCGGGTTCAAACCCCGGCGGAGTTCGTGGAATTTTTAAGGGCGGAAAAATTCAAGGAACAAGTCTCCGGGAGGGACTTTAAGCCGTATGTCCCGTGTCTTAGATTTACGGCACGTAAAGGAACCTAATGTCTCTAGGAGACCTCTGAGCTAAATTACAGGCGTTTTCCCTCCCAAGTAGTCTCCAATGCCTCTGGTGGATGGGGGAAGCATCAAGGTACCGGGGGCCGACCTCGTTGGCTCTACGGGGGCTGATGGCACGCACCGTTACCGGTGGGGTATGGCGACAGTAGAAATTAAAAGGGGTCCGCACAATGGACCAATGACTGGTCTAAGTGCATGGGGAAACCCACCCCCTCTCATAATACATACATACATCTGTGTATGAAACTTGCTGCCATAATAAAAGAACAGTTATTGTAAAGACATTTATCAGGTGCCTAGACGGTGAAATATTTGGACTTAACAAAACCAAGTCCATACATCAGAGGCCTTCTTGAAAAGCTTCTAGTCGTCCACCTAGTCAGAGAATTCCCCACCTTATAGTTAAGCCGAATACTCATTACAGCGCTGACAAGAGCCTGCTACTGAATCCAGTCTACACATTTGCATCCTTTCTATGATTCATTATTATTCATTATTCATTATTACGTACTTTGTCATCTATGTCAAAGTTTTCGAAGATGCCCCTTTCCTCCAGATATAATTCTTACAGTAGCATCAACACAGCCATCTATTGTTCTCACCCACTACACTTTTCGAGCGTATTTCTGGGTCGTCTTCAGGTGGTATACACACACCAACCGAGTTGTCACGCCATACTCTGCTGTCCTGTAGTTTCTTGGTGTGCTGAACTATAGTTTCATGCAGTGTATTTTGCATGTTGTGTGGTACGAAGTTTTCCTTTTTCCGACCAAAATTTACACACACAATTTTTATCCCTTCCTCGTGTGCTACATGCTCAAACGATCCTCCTTAATTTAATTGTCTGGCTAAGAATAAGCTTATCACTTCGTCAGCTTCATGAACCTCTAGTCGTTTGTTCCTCTGGTGTCCAAATATGTCCTTCGCCCACCTGTTCTAAATAAATCACCTTCTGTCTGTGCTTTTTCCCCAGTGTGAGGCGCAAAGTTCCTCCGCGTTTAGTGCATCCTCAGCAAGACGCCTCTAGTTAAGGACAGAAACTGCAAACGTAGTGAATAAGAAGTCGCTGAGAGCAGAAAGTGGGCGGTCCTCTAGCTAAGGGCTGTTATGAAATTTTGGACCTCAGACTTGAACAGATTTTGAACTAAGAGAAAGGATGTGGGAGGGGGTGTAGAAAAATACAAACTTAAGAGCTTCATAATTTTTTATTCTCGCCGTATATTATTAGGTTGTTTAAATTAAGAAGGACGGACTTCGACTAAATTCGGCATTCTGTGTCCGTATCAAAAAGTTGTGCGAATTTCATTCTCAATCGTGTTAGTCAGCGTACAGATATGGTGCCCTTTTGTAACAATTAGCGCTGTGAACAATTACTTAGCGTTTGCCTCTGTTCTTAGTGAAGCTGAATGTTACCGGTTTTTTTTTTTCTACATGTGACCCCCCCCCACACACAAACACACTGAATGATCTGTCCTAAACATTTTATAAGTTTCTCACTCTCTTTTTTTGGAACTGAATTCAAACCCGTTAGGAATTCAACGGGAAATCCCGTCATTTGTTAATTAAGCGTTTGTACTATTAACTTCCCTGCCATCTTCCTATTCTTTTGCAGCCTTGCATGTAATTGGACGATGACTAGAGACCGAAATAAAATTCCAGCTCCCAAGAATGACACGCATAAATAGTCAGTAGTGAACGGTCTCCTTAATATAGTATACTACATTTCGTATAACGGAATCAAAATGTTATCAGTTCTCATAAAATAGACCCGATGCACTGAAACAAAAGTCCACTCGCTCGTTCATAACCTACTACATAACTTACGTCCATGCAACGTGTTGACGCTACAAAATTCGTTGCTACGGTAACCAAAAATTAGCTGTTAATAACGTTAAATCTTAGCTTAACCATTTTTGTATATATGACATATTTGCTCAAAGCAAGAATTGTGAAGCCAGCAGAGACGGCCGTTGCTAGTGAGTGTCTGTACAAACAACCGCCGTTGCTAGGCAATGATGCAGTAGCGATCACGTGGTCACTCCAACAGACACCATCGCTAAAATGGAGTAGCTGGGAAGCGGTGTTCTCTACGCGGTCCACGCCGATAGCTACGTAATGCAAAAATAGAACTGTTGGGAGAGATGTTTTCCGTGGGGTCCGTGTTGTGATTATGTAAGGCGGACAAGCTGCCGTGTCCCGAGCCAGTAACCCCGCGTGGAGCCTGTTTCGAGTACCTCCACTGTAGCCCTGCGAGTCGTAGGAGGCGACGAAAAGGGAATCCATTGCCTGGGAATATAAGTGGGCCACCCTGTTCCTGAGGGATATAAATACGGGGACCTGTCCCTCCAGGTTGGGAGAGTCTCGAATCTGAGACAGGATTCGAACCCGAGAATGACTGCGCTGGCGACGGCCAGCAGCAATTGTAAACGACAGACCCGTCCTCTCGTCAGGGAGGGCATCCCACATCAAGAAACCCGCAGTTGTCTGATAGTAATAAAAATCTGGTCTTGGGCCCCACATGGGAGCTTGACACCAAGTGGAGATTGTTCAGTACACAAGTTCGGAAATGTATGAATAGCCTCCTTTTGGCCCAGTTATCACGGAAAAGTGCATGGACGTACGATTCAATCTCTATGTTTCTTTCTCTAAACATTTTCCTTCCGATAAGCAATCAGCGACATGCGCACAGCACCGCGTTCAGTTCCGCCGTATGAAACAGCAGCCTGTAACAGTAGACAGATAATTGTAACTTTTATTCCAGATACCCCCCCGCCCCTCGGTGAAATCTTAGTGAGAGACATCTCAAAGAAATTTGGGCCCTGAAATTATGCGGTTCTTAAAATAATTCACACTCGTATAATTTAAGTGTCTCGTGGAGTTTAGTGAAAATCTTTGGAGGAACTCAAAGAATGAACTTGCAAATAGAATTCTGTGTCCGGAATCAACAGCGACATGCGCACAGCACCGCGTTCAGTTCCGCCGTATGAAACAGCAGCCTGTAACAGTAGACAGATAATTGTAACTTTTATTCCAGATACCCCCCCGCCCCTCGGTGAAATCTTAGTGAGAGACATCTCAAAGAAATTTGGGCCCTGAAATTATGCGGTTCTTAAAATAATTCACACTCGTATAATTTAAGTGTCTCGTGGAGTTTAGTGAAAATCTTTGGAGGAACTCAAAGAATGAACTTGCAAATAGAATTCTGTGTCCGGAATCAACAGAACTAAGAAAATAATTAGAAAAGGTACGACAAAATTTAATACGGGCCGTACCATGCCAGAATTGATCCTGATCTGTCGGGTTATTTGGTAGCTGTACGTGTACAAACGGACGAAACTAACAGTCGTTTTTCGGAATACTCTTTTCGAAAGGCACCTAAGAACGAAGTGGAGCTATGCTTCGTGTGGATAGCAGCGCAGGGTGGCCGGAAGGATGCTAATTACAAAAACACACCCTAGTTTTTGTGGAGCAGTGAGCCAAAACCACTGAAGCGACAAAGTGTGAATGCAATAAGATGCGCGGTCGTCCTGAACGGCCTAAGCTCATGAATGAAGACTGACGCTTTGGAAGCATGAAGTTTATCAACATAACATTCAAGAATTTAGCTCCTCCCTTACCGAAATCATACTGACTCTGCGTTGCAAATACCAACCACAGGAGAAATCGTCGGTTTTTTCTTGTTAAAGCAGGTCATACATATGGTAACCGCTGTGTTTAAAGGGTTACAGCAGTGGTTCTCAAACTTTTTACCTCTGAGCCCCCCTGACAAGAGAAAATACTCTCAGGCCCCCCCCCCCCAAAGCTTGTTTTTTTTTATCAAAATAGAAGTCATGGTATGACGTTTTATTCAGTTTATTTTGTGTTTTTCTAAATACTATTAGCAGTTTTTTTTACTCAAAATTAAAGTATCACAATATTAGGTCTACAATATAAATTAGTTTTAACACTTGCAATTAACCAAAATATGTATTGAAATGAAACGATATTTAACTAACAAGTGTTTAATTTTTTCTGCAAAGAAAATCAAACATTTAAATGTCAAAGTTCAGTGTCATGGATGGGCCTGCTTTTGAGAACAAAGTTTATGAAAACGTGGTGTAATATCAGAAATGGCCACTCTAACTTCTTTAGCAATATTTAGCCTTGAACGATACTTTGACTTTATAGCTGCCAAAGCAGAAAAGCCTGTA